GCCCTTGACCAGGAATCGAACCCTGACCTCCTGGTTCCTAGGTCCACGCTCAACCACTGAGCCACGCCGGCCGGGCACTGACTTTGTCATTTCCATCCAAAGTATCCCATTCGGCTTGGCTGGGGTTAACATGACAGAATCTAGTAGAGACCATCGGACAAAAACGGTGAAGTATTTCGTTTAATTTGTGGAGAAATGGTCAGATTTCTGACTTCCTTTTATTTTCTCTTCCCCCAAACACACTCTCCAACATACTCCGAGTCCCATTCTGTTTAGGTCTTAAGCCAGAGTCTCGTGAGTCAAGCCCAGAGCCCATTGACCATTTAACTTTTCCCAAGATTGACCCGAAAATAGGCTTACAGCTGTCCCAATGGAAAATAATACAGCGATCCCATATAATAAAAGCCTAATATGCTAAGTGTCTGGTCGACCAGTCGGCCGTTCAACCAATCAAAGTGTAATATGCTAATGATATGCTAAGGCTGCTCAACTGCTCGCTATGACGTGCCCTGACCACCAGGGGGCACACAGTCGACCGGTCAACAGTCGCTATGACGTGCACTGACCACCAGGGGGAAGACACTCCAACTGGTAGGTTAGCTTGCTGCTGAGGTCCAGCCGATAGGGACTGAGCGAGATGGGCCAGACACGCCCTGGAGCCCTCCCACAATCCCTCCCCTGCTGGCCAACCTCCCGCGTCCCTCCCCAGCCCTGATTGTGCACGTGGTCAGTACGTGAAATAGCTTATTCTTGTTTCATTATTTTTTAACTAGAGGCCCGGTGCACGAATGCATGCACCAGTGGGGTCCCTCGGCCTGGCCTGCGCCCTCTCGCAATCCGGGACCCCTTGGAGGATGTCGGAGAGCTGGCTTCGGCCCGATCCCGCAGGCCAGGCCGAGGGACCCCACTGGTGCATGCATTCGTGCACCGGGCCTCTAGTTAAAAAATAATGAAACAAGAATAAGCTATTTCACGTACTGACCACGGTACACCTACTCTCCCTGCCCAGTATGCAGATCTAACGTTTTTCTCTCCCACACACTGTGCACAAAACGCCCCCCGGGAACGCACGCCCCCAAATTATCCTCGGCTTTCGGAACAACACGCGGCTCGTCCCGCGTCCGCAAATATTATTTCCCAGGAAGGTTCCCCGGGGAGAAGGACACGGATTCATAGCGGCTGACGGTTCTGAATTACCGGCGTGCGTGCTGCGGGGCCGCTGATAAACGGAGTGTTTTCCTTTCAAAACCTCTCATCTTGTTCCCCGAGTGAAAGAGACGCGGCGGAAAATACGCCGTCTGGAGAGCAATTTGTCTGAACAGCAGACGAACAACACCAGTCGGCTCACCCAACAGACGAGAGCTCCCGGCCACCCTGCCCGGGGAACACGCGGGGGTGGGACACCCGGCCTCCTCGCTGGGGACGGGGGTTGTAGGGGAAGATTAAATCCCGGCGAGAGCCCTGGCCGGTGTGGCTCAGTGGATAGAGCGTCGGCCTGCGGACCAAAGGGTCCCGGGTTCGATTCCGGTCAAGGGCACGTACCTGGGTTGCCGTCCTCAGAACATGCAAGCAATGTTCTAAAAGCCCGGCTCAGCCTAGCCCGGCCGGGAATCCAACCATGACCTCCAGGTGCATACGTTGACGCTCAATCACCGAGCCACACCGGCCAGGCCAGCAGAATATTATGGGAACACTAGAGGCCTGGTGCACGAATTCGTGCACGGGTGGGGTCCGGCCGGCCCGCCACAATCAGGGCCGATTGGGCCGAGCCGGCCAGAGGGAGGGGCTGCAGGCAGTTGGCAAGCCAGTCCCACCCCTGATCAGGGTGGGGAGACGATCAGGGGCGGGGCCAGATGGAGAGAGGGGCCGCAGACCATTGGTCGGTCTGCCCTGCCCCCTGGTCGAACTCTCGGTCAAGGGGACAATTTGCATATTAGCCTTTTATTCTATAGGATACCTTTTTAACCCAGTCTCCCAAATTCTAATATATCCTTTCTTCCGATGCCGTGAAATATTTAACTGGCTACTGAATGCATACTTAACTTCTCAAACTTCACTTTCCCATTTTTATAGAGATGGACATAAAAAAACATCTCCTGGCAGCCCCGGCCGGCGTGACTACGTTGGTGGAGTATCGTCCCACGCACGAGGAGGTCAGGGTTCGATTCCCGGTCAGGGCACATGCCCGGGTTGTGGGCTTGATCCCCAGTAGGGGGCGTGCAGGAGGCAGCCGATCCATGATTCTCTCTCTCTCTCTCTCCTCCCCCAAAAAATCAATAAAAAATATTTTAAAAAACATATCTCACAGCATAGTCAAATAATCATCCACGTACAAATCTATATATATAAAAGCCTAAGCAACTGGTTGACCGGTCGCTATGATGTGCACCGACCACCAGGGGGCAGATGCTCAACGCAGAAGCTGCCCCCTGGTGGTCAGTGTGCTCCCACAGACAACCTCCCGTGGTTCCTCC